TTTTTTTTTTTCACCAAGATTTTTTTTTTTTTTTTTCTTATGAGATCAGAATTGTTCCTCAACAAGTCAGGTATTTTTCTAATTATTTACAAAAAGAAACCTAGATATATGAAATCTATATAAAAGAAGTTGTATCATAAGAGACCTAGACCTAGATATATGATTTTTCTAATTATTTTCCTAATAATTTTTATTCTTAAGCTTTCTTTATATTTATTTCCATCATTTCTTTGAAAATGATGACAAATTTGTTCGAGTTTGATCTCTCTATAATGATGAACTAATTTTTTATTACTGAAGATTTGATGTAACTTAAATTTGACTTTAATTTATAATATTAATTTTTTTTTTGTTCGTGATCAAAATTTATTATTGTACTTAATACTTCCAAACTGAATTTCTCAATTAAATTGATTTATTTCAATAATTATCATCGAAAGAATGTTTAAGAAAAAAAAATAAATGTCGTGAGAATAATAACTTAATGTAAACTAGGATATGACTCATGAGAATTTTTTGTTAAGTAACAGTTGATATTAATGATTTAACTTGGATTTGATTATAATCATTGAGAAATAAGTAATTAAATTGAGTTAAAATACTTAATAAATTCTTGAAAAATATTATTATTGAATTTATGGTTATTTATTCTATCATAAACAATTAAATAAATTATCAAATTATTGAAATAAATTAAATAACATTAAGTAAAGTCAAATTCTCTAATAGTTTTTATCACTTAAATTTTTTCTTCATTGATTGATTTCTTTAGTTTAAATTTTATTTTGATTACTTTTTTAAATTCTTCAAGTAATCACATTAATTATTTTTTAAATAATAGTAGGATAAAGCATTTATAAAAGCAAAACAATTGCTGACCGCATAAAAGGTAGGAGGGAGAGAGAGAGAGAGAGGGAGAAGAGAAGGGCAAAAATAGAAATTAGACTGACATTAAATTCTAGAGTTATTATTTACAATTTTTTGTTGTTAATAACCCTAATCCTCATCTGGCTTTACGATGCAAAATTACTATCAAACTTGGGAAGGCTGTGTTGTGTACGGATTGCTCTGATAGTTTATAATTTATAAATAAAAATAAAAAATTAATGTTTCCTTTAAGTTATTTTATTATTATCATTTTTTTTAAAGCATGTTGTTATTTTATTTTATAAATCGTGTTTAGTATTTTATTAAAATATATATTTTTCGACGGGCTATTTATTAAATTATCGTGTAATAGAAATTATAATGCAATTAACTTATTTTAAATAATTAAAATTCAATTAGAATATTTAGGTTTCAGTTAAAGTTTATAATTCAAACAATTTAAACATTTTATCTTATCATAAATAATTCTATATAGATAAAAATTTTACGATTCAAATAATTCAATATGGATAATATATAAAAAATATTATTTTAAATTTAATTAGTAAAATATAATTTAATTATCTAGGTTTCTAATAAAGTTTATAATTCAAACAATTTAATCATTGTATCTTATCATAGATAAATATTAATTTAATTTAATTAGTAATATAATTTAATTATCTAGGTTGAAAGTTTAAAATAATTCAAACAATTTAGACATTGTATCTCGTCATAAATAAGTATATAGATAAAGTTTAAGATTCAAATAATATAATATGGATAATATATAGATAAATATTATTTTAATTTAATTACTTAACAGTAAAATATAACATAATTATTATTAAATATTATTTCTATAAATCTTAATTTAATTTACTTAACAGTAAAATATACGACATTACATTAATTATTAAAATATATTTCTATAAAACATAAAAAATAAAAAATCTTTTATATTTAAAATATCAATTAATTCCAATAGGAAATATTTTTAGTTTAATTTTAACATATATAATTTACATAGATTAAAAAATAGAAAGTTTTATTACCAAAGAAAGTTAATAATTATATATTAATTTTTAATTTAATTACTTAACAGTAAAATATAACATAATTATTATTAAATATTATTTCTATAAAACATAAAAAATAAAAAAATCTTTATATTTATATCAATTAATTCCAAATAAGAAATATTTTAGTTTAATTTTAACATATATAATTTACATAGATTAAAAAATAGAAAGTTTTATACCAAAGAAAGTTATAATTATATATTATTTAAAAATTTAAAAATTTTGAAGACTTAATTTTAGAAGGTAAATAAATTTTAAAAGAGAATTTTTAGAAACTCTTGTGCTTATTAATATTTTTTAAAAAAACAATTGGGTTTTATTCTTATTAGTTTTTTTTAACTATAATTTATGAATTTATTAATACATTATATAAAATTCAAATTTAAATTCATACTATCTAAATGAAAATTCTAATAAATTATTTTATAAATTCTAAATGATAAAAAATTTAAATATATGGTTTTTTAATAACAACAAAATTAATTCAAAAAATTACTAATAATTACAGAGTTTTTAGACCAAATTATTTGTTATCTTATAATATGAAATAATTTATTGTCTTAGATGTTATTAATTATGTCAAAACTATAATTAAGTAGTTTTAGGAATTACGCATGAGCAGATTTGTTTGTAACTTTTATTTATACACCAAAAAAAAAAAAAAGTATTGCAAAAGAACTACAGTAAAGAACATAAATATGAAATGAAATTATAAATTAATAGGCAAAGAACGTATGACAATAAAGAACTTAAATATATAAGAATTGCAAACTAATAAGCAAAGAACGTAAAGAGACAATGTATGATTTGAATAAAGAATGTATGAGAGAGAGAGAGAGAGAGAGAGAGAGTGGAGATAAAAAAGAAATTTTAAGGGAAAAAAGAGATTTTAATGGGAAAATGAGATTTTAATGGGATTATGGATATATATGGTCTTTTTGAATCAGATTATGGATACATATAATTAAAATTTAAAACTCTTTATTAGTTATTAAAAAAGAAGAAAATTTATAAAAAAATAAAAGAAAATCAAGGAGTGATTAAAAATATCAATAAATAAGAAAATTTATAAAAAAAGATAAATGGAAATACTAATCTAAGAGAGTGTCAAGTCATATTTTTTTGTTTCAGATTTTATATACATATAGATATAGATTTTTAAATTGACGCATATGTGTCACAAAGATCAAAAGCAGACCCAATTTTTTTTTTAATTTTCTTATAAATAGTACTCACATTTGTGTTTTTTTTATTTAATTTCACAACATGATCCTCCAAATAATTTTACCCCCTTAAATATTTTAAGGGGATTTGACACTGGATGTAATTGTAACAAATCATCAAGTTCTGGGTATTTTAGACATTTAAGGGTGTTACTTTCATGATACGTGGCTGAACTAACTTTATTTTTGTCCGTATAGGCATTTGTTAGGTAGAACGAACATAAAGCATGAACATAAATATAGGACATAATGCTAATATCATACTAAAATATCCAATACCATTGTCTTTATAAAAAAAAAATAAATACATGATTTATATATTAAAAGCATATTACATATATATGTAGATATAACAAAGAAAAATAAAGAGAAAATAGATAAAAGTTAATATTTTATGATTAATAAAATAATATTTTCAATTTTTATATCCAAAATTTTTTAAAATTATAGCCAAATTTCAAAGTTTTTTTTTTTGAAAAAAATCAAACTATAATTTCATTAATTGGAAACTACATACAGATATGTGATACAGATTAATATATTTCTCTATTTTTATATAGAAACCCTAATAATAAACCATTTATATAAAAAATAAAAAAACAAAATCTTAATTTGAAATACCTGATCGAGTTGACAGAGCATCATATTTGTACCACAGGCCATCGCTTGTTTTACTTGATGGCTATTCATGATCACTATTCGACTCCATAGTCTTTATAAGTCTTGATTTGATTACTTTTAAATTTCTTCATTATATCAAATGAAGTTTTTATAATATATATAATTTCTTAATTTTTTTTAAGAATAAATCATTAGAAAAATAAGACAATTTTCTATATAAAAAAAAAAAAGTAAGACCGAGGAAAAATGGTTGGGATAGCTCGGCAGCGGTAAGTAGAGTAGACGATTGGACTTGGCCAAGTTTGTATTATAATTCTTTAATGTTAGCTGTTGCTTTTGGAAGAATATCGGTAGGAAAATGCTTCTCTTTTTTCTTTCTTTTTTTTTTAATTATAAAAATACTTATGGATTGTGCCTCAATTGACAATGTAGACTGAACATATAGAAATAGCTTTCAAGTTTGATTTTTACTAAACGCACTTGCACGGAAAGGGCAAATATCAGATTAGACGGTTCATAGTAACAGGAGAGTAAAATAAAAAAGAAACAAATATTTTAACCATTATTAAATTAAATAGTTAGAAAAAAGTGTACATTTTTTATGTAACTATAAACTAGCTGTAAATGGTTTTTGGATCAAACCGAATTGAGAAATCATATTGAACTGAACCGAAATAAAAAAGAATCGAATCGAAATTTAAAAAGGAATGAGATAATAAGAGCCGAATTGTATCAAACCGAATGAAATTTATTATTTAAGTTATGGTTTCGATTCTTATAAGGAACCGTACTGTAATTATATCAAAATCACTAAAATTGAACTGAAAAATCGAATGATTGAACAGAATTGAATTGAAAAATGGAATGATGGAACTGAATTCCGTATCATATCCATTTAATATAAGAAGATCACTAGAAAAGGCATATTTTTATACGAGTAAGAGAAAAAAATTAATTGTATCGAATTTGAATTACATTAGATCGGATTAATAAATATTTATATCTATTTATAAATGGATGGATTGGATTCTATTCGGTGGATCAAGCAGAAATGAGCTTCCGTGGCAGAAACTGAATAACTTTCGCCTACTAAAATGATACGTGGCTCCAAAATCGTCACATAGAAACGGGCAACCTATAGTGGCAATATCGCAATATTTTACATTTCGAGATCCATTTTCCTTTCACAAAGCTTAAGCCTCTTCTTCCTGTGTTTTCATTACAAACAGCAGACTCAGACACTAAAATATCGATACATAAAAGAACTCTGAGACCAAACACCGGTCACTGATTGGTGATCAGTGATTACAGGCGATCGAGTGGCCTTATTTGGCCGGAAAATAGAATAACCCTTATCCGCTGGCGGCAACGGTCATATTTCCAGTTAGAAATTTCACTGAGAGCTCAAGTTTGTCATTTTTTTGGATATTAGGTTATATTGCGAAATGGGCATAAGTTAAAACAAAGAGAGAGAATTGCAGAAATGGAGTGGAAGGAGAGTATTGTGAATGGAAGAGGAATATCAGAATTAACGGCTGGGACCTGGGATTGTTCAATTTGTAGAGGTGGATCCGATGTTCTGGTGTTAGTTGGGTAACTTCGGTTCATGCAGTTAGGGTTTAGTTTTGCTCTTGCTTCTATTATTTTACACGAAAAAAAAGCGAGTGGTTTTGTGGAACAGGAATTTACAGTTTACCGGTATGTATTATATTTTCCCTGTTTCAAAGAAGCCACGAGTCATTTTATTAGTGCAAAGCCAAAGGTATGTAAGCTGACTGTAACGGGTGTTGTATTTATGTTCTTGCTGTATAAAGCATCAAACTTTCTGATTGCTGCAAGAATTTTTTGACACAAAGCTATTGACTTTATTGTGGAAGATTATAAATACTTTTAAATACTTTTCAATTGGAAAATTTAGGGTTTTTTTACGGGGGTTGTTGGAATGGTGTAGATTATGCAGAAGTTTATGAGGTCTTGAGATTGAGGTTGAGGGGTTGCCATAAATCTGGCTTTCTGGATCGCTCAAACCCTAAAAGACCAGAGCTGGATCTTCTTTCTTTCTCCCAAAAAAAAAAACAAATAGACACTGCCTCAGCTAAGGACCCTATAACAGAAACAAAGGAAAGGTCAGATTTTACTGTATTTGGAGCCAAGATCCCCTTTGATTCTGTATATCTCATTTCTTGGTTTTTCAATCTTGGATTTGGTTGATTTGACTGTTTGATTTTTTTGACCTTAAAAGTATTAAAGAATCAGATTGTTACCTATTTTGATTGTTAAGCACCTGTAGCTACCGTATAGGCTCAACAGTTTATTGTGGGTTAATTTCCTTGTCTGAAACAGTTTAGAAAACCAGATTAGTTTTGTGGGTAACTAATTTAAGACATTACTTGCTTAGTTTGAGGATTACAACTTTTTAATTCTATGTATTGCTGGTTCTGGATTTTGGGCAGCTAAAGGCATCTGCTACTTTTACTCGCTCTACTTGGCTTCAATTGTTTGTTGTTGTATTCTTGCATCTACTAGTCTTTGAGAACAAACAGGAATAGAAAGATGCATGCGAGGCATCGAAGTCCTGGAAATGGGTTCAGGTCTAATTCGATGGGGATGGGCTTGGGCACCTCAAGGATATCCCCTGAAAATTCAGCCAGAGGTCGTGGCTTTTACAATTCTGAATACAGAAGCTTCAATAATCGTGGTTTTGGCCGTGGCCAGGGCCAGCATAAATCATTTCAGCAACCATCTCAGCCACCACCACGCAAAGGAGACATTTTGATGGAAGCTGGTAGACTTGCAGCTGAGTATTTAGTTTCCAAGGGATTGTTACCTCAGAGTGCACTTTCTGGTAAGTGGCAGAATGGTAGTTTGAAGAAGCAAGTTAGTGATTATCAGGATCTTAGGTTACAAGAGGACCTTACACAGGAAGGCCGAACATCTGCTCATGCCCGTGTAGGAAGTGGTTCTTCTGATGAAGGAGCAGGTAGGAGAAAGTATTCTGATGACTTCAGTTTGAAGAATCATGTAAGAGGAAGGAGGAGAGGAGAGTATTACAATCGGAGTTATAGCTCAGAAAGAGAGTATGGGAGGAGTGGGTGTATGTCAGATACAAATAGAGTATCTCCTGATATGGAGGGAGGTGATGATGCTGTTTCTGGACATTATGAAGAGCGGCAAGTTGGCGGAGATGTTGGAGATGGGATGCAGAAGTCTGTTCAGAGTGGGTCTGCACCAGAAAGTGAGGAAGCAACTGATATGGAATCAGGAGCGGAGTTTAATAATTCAGATGAAATGGGTTCTAAGCCAAGTTCTTTTAGTGTTAAAGATAAGACTGATGGGGAACCTATCAAGGCATCTGATGGTTTGACAAACTTGAATGTGGGGATTGAGGAGACAAAGGACTCCAATGATGATCAAGAAACTGAGAAACAGATTGTTCCTGACGGCTCAACCATTGAGCACTCTGCAGTGGAGGGTGATCTCTCTGGCAAACGTGGATCTGATTTACTAACATTTTGCAAATTTGCCAAGATCCCAACAAAAACACGCTCTGCATTGACATACAGGGGGCCCAAGATTGACCAAGTTCTGAAGAAGGAAGAGGAAAACACATCTGGTATCGTGCCTTCCAAAGGATCTGAAGTCTCAATTGAATATGGCAGTCTTGATTTTTCTGCAGCTGATGTGCTACCAAATACAACTCATGATCCAAAATACTCTGATCCTGAAATATCAAAAGCAGTGCCTGCACAGTCTGCTGAGGATGCAGGAGAATTAGACCCTGCATATGGTTCTGACCATGGTAAATGCATGAGGTCTCAGTCATTTCCAGATAGAGCTTTTATGCATAATACTGAGCAGGAACCAAGTCAGGGGGTTCCAGGTTTTGGAAGGTCCACCTCGGTTAAAGAGAGAGGTGAGAAACGAACTGCAGAAGATAATAGTGTGAATGAAGCAACCAAGAAACCTAGAGAATGGCTTCCGTCGTTGGTTGGTATAGCTGGTGACCATCTTCATCTTTCTAATTTAATTCAAAATCAAGATAGTTTACAAGACGGGAGGACTTCATCTGATCAGCATGCGATTGTGGCCGATACACAAGCCAGCTTGGTAAATAGTCATCAAGTTGCAAAGCCTGGTGGTGAAGCATGCGTTGATTATTCACAAGAGAAGCAGCTTTTTCCAAGTTCATTCAAGATCTGTGACCTTAACCTAATGGAAGCTTCTGATATAAATGATAATCATTGTAATGATCCAGTTCTTGTGTACCGCTCTATCGCAGCAAAGAAAAAGGAAGCAGAACAGATTGACGTTGACTTGTCAATGAGTAATTCCAACCTTTCTGGTGAATATCCTAGATCCACAGAAAATGGCAAAAATATTGAAGTTATTGATTTGGAGAATGAAGAAGATAATGCTTTTGATAATTCACAGAGAAAGTATGTTTCTTTTACCATTGTGCTTTCTTTTAATTCTACACGGTTCTCAATTTATCAAAAGAAAAATGGAAAACATCATATACATTCTATATCAGTAGCTTATGTAATTGTACTATTCATTATACATGCTTTTAATGCACATGAATGGTGGCAATATATTCTCATCTAATATTGCTCCAGTTTCTCACTAAAAACGATTCAGGTGCTATTTTCCTTAAATTTTGCTTCTCTTCTTGTTCTTAAGTTGTTGAAATTTTTCAGGGAAATACCATTTACTGGCACAGAAGGGTTTCCAAATAATGCTCAGAATGCTGAAGATATTGCTGATGTTCCTGACAGCTATGATAGTCTTACAATTTCTGAGTTCCTTACTACTTTTTCAAATTGTGCTTCCGTATCAGAGGATATTAATCCACTGCAGAATGAGATGGGTCTTCATAATGGAGAGGTACCTTTGAAATGATGTAATGTTTTTTTGTTCTGATGTAATTCCACAAGTCTCTGAGCCTAATTTCAGGATTTAAGTTTTAGATATTTCTAATAAAATTACCACTTGTCTCTAGATGGTTATAGTAATCTTTGTCGTGTGAGACAAAATTAATTTTTGTTTCTCTTAATTAACCCTGCGAGTATATTCATTTTTCATCTCATGTGTACTTGATGCTGAGATGGTTCCAATTTCCTGCAATTTTGTCATAAAATGGATATTCCAAGCATGCTATCATTTATCATAATGTACTGATATAGCACTTAATATAATGCACAGATATAGTAATGTAGTGCACTTGTTTCTGTATTCATATTTGTTTTGGTTGTTGAGAACCAGATAGATTCATTTTACTTGTGTAATTCACGAGTGACATTTTTTCCTATCCTGGTTTCAGGGGACTCTTGGCGACGATGACTCAATTTACATGTCTCTGGGAGAAATACCATTAAGTATGCCAGATTTTTAATTTCATGGTTTGTTTTCATATAAATCTAGAGTGCATGGGGTAGACCTGTCTAATGTGCTGTTTAAGTAGGATGTTAATGGACTGCATGCATCCAGTGAGTATTTGATGATGGTATGTGTGCATATGTACATGTTTGGTGCTAATAAAATGTTTTTATGGATCCATTAATGAGTAATTCGTATTGGTAACTGGAGTTTCCTTTGGACTTTCAAGAGCACATGGAAAATGAAATGAACTGCTTTTTTCTTTTATTTGTTCTTTCTGAGATTCAAATGAAGGTATAAGGTTTTTATTCAAGGCTTTTCTGGGAAACATATTTAATAGCGGATGGGGGTATTAAATATCCAAATGAAATCTATATAGCTGACCCCAGCTAGTATGTAAGTAAAGCTTAGTTGAGTTGAGTATTCAAGGTCTGGTTTTGTAGCAAATGGATCAATAAAAGATGGGTGGGTTGGTGGTGTCCAGTCTTTTATTGAAAAATAATCTATGCCAAAGATTGCAGGTAAGTTGGTCCATTGTCCACGTCACTTGGGAGCCTATATTGGGGGCAAATTGGCTTTATGCTCAATGAGGGCCAGTGCTCTAACTGAAGTTGTAAAAGTATTCTAGGGTGATTTATTAAAAATATTTAAGTGTAAAAGTTATCATCTTATTATCGTATCTCTCCAAATTTCTTTTACTTTTGGAGATAGCACAGTGAAAAGGAGATGAGTTTATATCTTCATGTTGTTCTGAAGGTTTCAGTACAGGTGTTCTTTAGCATTTGCGCAACATTAGAAGTTCCCTTTTCTCTCTATGAAGTCTTATCCATAGTTTGAATTTTTTTTCTTTTTTCTGTTTACTAATACAAATTTCTTTTTCTATTAAAAAAAGACATGTAGCTGTTAACTTTAATCTATGGAAACTCCTTAGGCTAATTTCCAGTTTTTTTTATCAGGCAAAGTCTGTGGTTATTTGCAATTTATTCAGTTAAGATTGCATGGTACCCCTTTTTATTTGAGCCAATAAAAAGCTTATGTTCTTATAAGTTTAAGTTTTTGCAGCACTTTTTATGATTCTTCATCTTTCTTGTCTTATTAACTATTTGCTATTTTTCTTATAGGCTTTATACCAGCCTGGGAGCAGCAAACACCACAGGAATATGGGAAGCCCTTTTGATCTGGCAATTCTTCCAATCAGCGAGTGTATATTAGTTGGTATGCTTACTATAAGTCTTTGGGTTCTTTTGTTACATTGACTAGCTGAATCCAAATGCAACCCCTGCTTTGCTATAATTCTAATGTTGTTTATAAAGAATGCCAGTAAATCTCAAGCTTCTAGTTCTAGGAATCCTAGGTATGGTGTATGCTTTTCTTTTATTTAGCTGCTGCACTCATTCAATGTATGAAAAAATGTTTATCATATTGATTAGAGGTGGTTTGGAAATCCGGTTGTATTTTTCTGCTCTCTAACCAGGGCTTTCAAAACTATTGAAATACATCATAGATATGCTTTTCACTCCGGACTTGTTCGTTTGAATTTGATTTCTGCAGTATAAGTTACTTTTGGGCTTCGGACTTGTTAAATGTTGCAAAAGTTGACACCTTTTTTATCATTAACCGCAATATTAACCGCAAACCAGAATGCATGGATCTTTTCAAATGAAATTTGTAATTTTAAATTTCGAACAACTTCCGTTCTATTCTGATTTTAGCTTGCTTGGCTGAGCATTTTCTATCACCTCTACATGCTGCAACTTTTTTGTGGTAATGTTGCTTGTTATTGGATTAGAGATGTCAGGTTTTTTGTTGAATATGTTTTTTGATTGACATTTTGTAGTGTTACTACATCTTTGTGCTGCAACTCATTCCTCATTAACAAGGAGTATCATCGGGCTCATATAAAGTTTGCGAGCGGGCCAGCCTAAATGAATTTTTTTTTTTTAAATCAAATGATGTTATGAATTTAATAATTTCCAAAATTTATTTAAAAATTGAACATATATTCTGTAATTTTTATGGTAAATGTGTAATTCTTAATTATTGTATTATTAATTTTTTAGGAAATAATTTTCTAAAAAATGTATTGATGCATAAAACTGTAATATATAAAATTAAACTATATGCGAGTGAACGAATGGGTTAGGAGCTTAGATAATTTGAATGCTGTTTAGTTCAAACTCAGCTCATCTTTTAGTAATTGAGTTTGAAAAAACAAATTTTGAGTGAGCTTTTATAGAACTGAATTCTTCGAGTAGCTCAATTTTTTCATAGTCGTCATGCAATCCACCGTTTGAGAATATAAATTTACATTTAAATAATAAATTTTAAAAAATAATAATATATTTTGGGATAAAAAAAAAAAAGAATATGAATTTATATATGTACCTAGTACAAAATATGACCATACATGATGGTAGGTCCTCATATTATTATATATCCCATCCTGCCTAAACAAAAAATTTCTCTAACCAAAGCCTACTGTACCACTAAGTTCTTGTCTGAATGACATGATATTTGACAGAAAAGAAACCCAACACAACACATCTTTTCGTGTTCTTCTTCGCTTTGTCGGTAGGTTTCTCATACAAATATTAGGTAAAAGTCAGTCGATCAATTTTCAATTTTTCAATTGATTTTTTTTTTTTTTTTTTTCTTTTCCGTGTTTCTTCTTCGCTTTGTTCCCGGTCAGGTTTTATCAACAAAATATTAAGGTAAAGTCCAGTCGATCAATTTTCAATTTTCAATTGATTTTTTTTTTTTTTTTTTCAAATCGTAATCTGATCTCGTTACATTCAATCTGGAAAGTAATTTCTGTGTAATTTTTTTTTTTTTTTTTTTTCAATCGTATCTGATCTCGTTACATTCAATCTGGAAAGTAATTTCTGTGTAATTATGCTTTCGGAAAATGAATTTTTTAAGAATAGATTATCAAATTTGGAGATGACAAGTTGTTATGTGGCGTTGGATTGAGGTAAGGGGAAGTTGGCACCGTTACATGTCTTTATCCATCATTCTAATTTCCTTACACAAAAACTGCATGCTTACGTTAACCAAACCCTCAGCTGAAAATGTTCATTGTTAGGCATTCATTTATTTTCATAAAATATCTCACTGATAAATACTTTTCACAATTTTTTATTATTTAGAGCGTTCAGAAAAATAAATCAATGGAAATTATTTTTCTTGTCAAAGAAAAATTAAAATATTTTTTAAAGAAAACAACTTTCTATTTTCAAGAGAGAGGAAAACATTTTTCGGACATTAGTAAACCTTATTAATTCATATTTTTTAATTTCTTAATTATTATATTCACCACATTAGTCATCATTTACAACTGGCAGCTACCACCAGTGGCTTTCATAATTTTACATTTAATAATATGTAAATTATAAAATTTTAATGGCATGTACAAACTCGCATAATTTATTTTTGCTCTTTTCATATTTAATAATAAAAATTTTAAATTATAAAATTTCTATTATTTTTAATATTTTTCATGGTCTGATGAGATAAACACTTTAATATTTTTAACTAATTTTCAATATTATATCCAAACAATTGAAAATAAATTATTTGAAAAATATTTTCTAAGGAAAATGTTTTCCATGAAAATATTTTTCAGCAAGTTATTTTACGGAAACAAACGGAGTATTAATTAATCTTTCTTTTCTTCTAATACATCAAATTATAAATAGATTTTATTTCTCTGAAATTTATTTGGAAAACCCATAATTAATAGATTTTATTTCTTTTTATACATCAAGCGAGAAAATCAGAAAGGAGGGATAATATTGATAGAAGAAGAAGCTATTACAACGGCAAAAATCAACAGCTACCCCCCATAAAATTACAATAGCTAACAGCCAACTATATTGATGGTAAATAATAATAATAATAATTAATTTTAAGTACATACATAGGGTTAGGGTTGATGAAACAATAAGTTCATTAAATACCATAACTTTGAATGGGTTTTTTTTTTGGCATTTTATGACACCCCAACATAGCATATATAAATAGAGTATAGCAAAAGTTTGAATATATGAATTAATATGTATATAATGGCAGTTTAGATATTTTAATTTGATTTATTGATTAATAGTCAAATCAAAATTTGGTCTAGAAAATATGATTCACAATTTTCATTTTCAAGATTGTGACAACAAAATTATTGCCTTTAAAAGCTCCCATTTATAGATGTAACGTTTCCACTTTTGCCCCTCACTACACGTTGAAATTTGAATCTTTTTGGGCCCTTGCTTAGGATTGGCCTAGTAAATTAATTAATGGCATGTTCTTCCTCTGTTTTTTATTTTTTATTTTTTTTTCAAACAGGTGCTGTTTTAATATTTCATGATTCCAATGTTTTATCAAAGCTTCTTCTCGCTCTACTTTAATAATAACAAACCATCAATTTACCTTATTTTATTTTAAGTACTCATTTAAAATTTTGAAGGTATATTATTTTTTTTCAATTTTATTCCTTATTTATTACGCGTTTTATGACAAAATTAGTGAGTTTTTAATTTTAAAAAGCGCAATTTAGATATTTTATCATATAATTTTAAAAAATCAATATATTTTAATTATTTTCTTAATCCTTGTGAAAAGATCGAATCTAATTATCAAAATGGAATTGATGGAGTATTTTATTTTTTGAATTTACCTTTTTAGCACTAGTAATATTAATAATCCATATTAAACTTAAATTCTATCTTAAATTTACTTAAACCATATGAATTATTATCTTTCCAAGAATGATAATATCGTCTTTTTGATATATATATATATATATAAATATTATTCTCTCCGTCTCAAAATATAAGTTATTTAAGATTTTTACATAAAGATTAAGAAAGCAATAAATTCTCTTAGATTATAATAAATTCAAGAGTAATTTGACCAAATTATCTTTTATTTCAAAACCAATAGTTCCTTGTGAAGTATTTATTATATTTAATATAAACAAGGGCAACATTAAAAAATATCATTTATTACTTTTTGAAATATACAAAATGACTTTTATTTTTGAACAAAATAACAAACTAAAACGACTTATATTTTGGGACAAAGGGAATAAAATTTAATATATTTATTGCTCTCCTTAATTTGAGCGAAATAGCTTTAAATGACAGATATAAAAAACGGTAATGCTATTTAGCACAGTTTGTGCCAACTCACGAAGGGTATTTTCAATTTTTACTAGTTGTATTTATATTTCACAATTTTCAATTAATTAAGTGTTGTTAGGTAAAGTCATAAATATCTTTTACTGTATATAGGAATTTTGCAATTAGATTTGAAATCCAAATTATTTATTGATTCTTGAGCAACATTTATTGTAGTTAAGAGTTCCAATGAAATGATTTTTTAAATTTCAATGGCCTTTTATTGGTGAATTAATTAATGATTAAATGCTCAATTGGAAACTTAAACTCCGATCTATATATATATGTATACCTTATATAGTATATAGTATAATTTCTTATTTCATTCGATATATTTTGACGTAAATAGAAAATTAGTACGACTAATTAAAATTAAATTACTTTATAATTTTCAACTAATCAAATTGGAATCCTTAATGATATTTTTTTCCGATCTATATATATATATATATATATATATATAATTCTAAAGAAAAAAAAAATGTGAGTTGGCACTCTAATATTTGAGAATTCTATTTTATCTTCTTTTTAGAAATTTTTAGATTTTTTTCTTTATTTTTCTATGTTTTGATTGGATAGTAATATTTTTTTAATTTTAAAATTAATATTTAGATAATAACTATATATTTTGAAATCCAATCTAATTTAAAATTATTTTATTTTATTTGATATTTGATTTTCATTTTCCACAATTTAAAATTTTTTAAAAATAATTTGGCTTTTGAAAATTTTTAATTGAAAATTTTGGATTTTTTTCCTTATTTTTCTACATTTTGATTGCATGATTGTATTTTTTAAATTTTAAAATTAATATTTACATAATAGCAATATATTTTGAAATCTAATCTAATTTAAAAACTATTCTATTTTATTTGGTATTTGGTTTTCATTTTTTCACAATTTAAAATTTTTTAAAGATAATTTGGCTTTTAAAAATTTTTAATTTTGTACCTATATCTTTATCTATATATAATTCTAATTATTGGCTTAAATAAACAAGATGATCATAAAGTATACAGTTAGTTTGTTTTTAATTGTATACCTATATGGTTATTACTTTGCTTTCGTTCTTTTGTTAATTTGTTGTATGTTGAATTTTTTTTTTTTTCTTTCTTTTGTACAGGGCATCAGTTAGTGCATTTCACACATTTTTACTTACATTTACAATCCAATTATCTTTTCATGGGTAAGCATAAATCATCACACTTCTCATAGGATTCAATATCTCTTGGAATCATGCATTTCCAAGAAGAGCTTTTTGCTTTTGTCATCGTTCCTACCCGGCAATGATATCTTCAAAATTGTGCATGATAAGAGTTATATGCTTAAAATTATTTCACATGATTTTAAAGATGCGATTATTCTCTTTTTAAAATCTCAATATGTACCGTTATTTAAGCATCATTTTGCCTTTATTAATTTATGTTAATATGAAATCTTTCTATTTTCAATATAGCTTCAAGCAGAAAAGAAATATTCTGTATGTACTAGATTGATACTAATATAAACTTTCACGTTTACAACATATTAAAACCTTTGATTGTGGTGAGCGGTGAAGTTAAACGATTCAATTTTATTGATGTATAAACCTGACTTTACGGAATTGGCTGAATTTCTCAAAACGTTGAATGAAGTGATCATTGAATGCAAAAAATATGGTCATTGTTATATATGCAAAAAAATATGGTCATATGTTATATATATATATATATATATTATATATATATATATAATAATATTCTAAATTTTATATTTTTTAAAAGAAACTATTAAACCAAGACCTCTTAAATTTAGTTTTTCAATTTTCAAAAATTTTATATGTGACCATATTATTGGTCACACCTTAATTTAAACTTTTGGAGTTTTCTTTTTTTAATTAAGAGACATCTTTTTGTTTTTGTTAAATTTAATTAGTAAATGTAATTTTATAGAATTATAATCTAATATACATTAATAAATGTTTTTTTTTAATTAATAAATAAAACAA